TCGAACTTCCATCGACAAACAGTCTGAATGAGTCGCCGATGTAGATGCTGCAGGGTTTGAGTTTTTCCTTCCTTTGTTCTTTTGCCTTTGGCTGGGATTCTCCTTGCTTGCTGGGACAATGCTCATCCTGGCTCAACAGAGCCCGATGTTCGATGGTTTCAGGCGTGAATTCTGCCACGAAGTCGGCCAAAACCTAGCCCTTTATTGCTGTTCTCGGCCTAAACTCCAGGTCATACTGTGCGCCTGAAAGTAATGGTTCAACTTCTTTGAAGCCATTACTAAGGCTAGCATTAATTTCTCCAGTGGTAGATACCTTATTTCTGCATTGGCCAAGGTTTTGCTTACATAGTAAACGGCCTTTTGCTCTCCTTTTTCTTCTCGGATTAGTACTGCACTGACTGCGTGTTCTGAAACTGCCAAGTACAAAAACAGTTCTTCCCCTGGTTCTGGATTGGAAAGAACTGGAGTTGTGGTCAAGTACTTCTTCAGGTCGGTCAAAGCGGTTTCGCATTCTTCTGTCCACAGAAAGTCTGTGGCTTTTTTCACCAGGTTGAAGAAGGGTCTGCACTTATCTGAGCTTCTGCTGATGAATCTGTTTAGGGCTGCAGCCCTTCCAGTAAGCATCTGAACCTGTTTTGTCGACGTCGGGCTTTTCAGTTCCAGGATGGCCTTGATTTGGTCTGGGCTGGCCTCAATGCCCTTTCTTGTTACCAGATACCCTAAAAACTTACCTAATCCAACTCCAAACGCGCACTTTGATGCGTTGAGTCGGAGCCGGTATGTGTTGAATATATCAAAGACCTCTTTTAGGTCGGCAAGATGACCCTTAGATTCCTTGGTCTTCACGACCATGTCATCGATGTAGACTTCTACCATTTTGCCAATCAGGTGCTTAAATATCTTTGTTACTAACCTTTGGTAAGTTGCTCCTGCGTTTTTCAACCCAAAGGCATTACCTTGTAACAGTACAGGCCTTTAGGGGTGATGAACGCAGTCTTCTCCTCGTCTGGAGGGTACATGGCAATCTGGTGGTATCCCCTGTATGCATCTAGAAAACTCATCCTTTCATGCCCTGAAGTAGCATCTACTAGCTGGTTAATCTTGGGCAGAGGAAAGCTGTCTTTGGGGCATGCTTTGTTGAGGCTGGTAAAGTCTACACAGACCCTCCATTTACCGTTCTTCTTCTTCACCACTACTGTGTTGGACAGCCATGTTGGGTAGTGAACTTCTCAGATGGCCCTGGCCTCCAGAAGTCTATCTATCCCTTCTTCTACTGCTTCGACATGCATCAACGTTGGTCTTCTGGCTCGTTGAATCACAGGTTTTGCCGACCTGTCGACATTCAACCTGTGGCAAGTGACCTTGGGGTCAATGCCAGGCATTTCATAAGGTGTCCAGGCGAACACCTCTATGTTTGTTCTTAAAAAATCTTCCAGTTCTCTTTCCTCTTCTTCGGCTAAGCCTGAGCCGAGAAGAAAGAAGCGCTCTTCGTCGCCCTCCTGGACAAGGATTTTCTTTAGTGTCTCTTCACTCTTTTCGGTTGGCTCCTTACCGACATCATCTAGGACCTCCATGTCCTCGTCTTCAATCTCTGCCTCTTTTGGCTCTCGAATGCTGCAAGTAGACTTCATTGCTGCCATGGAGCAACTTTTTGCTTGCAGTTGATCTCCTCTGACTTCTTCAATCCCATGCTCTGTTGGGAACCGTAGTAGTTGATGCAATGTTGAGGGAACTGCCCCCATTGCATGCAACCATGGTCTTCCCAAAATGATGTTATATGGCGAGGGTGTGTTAATCACCATAAATTCTGTCTTGATCTTCTTAGTACCAGCTTGTACTTCCACGCTTGCTGCGCCCAGTGGCCATGTCGACGTTCCATTGAAGCCGACCATAGGGTTGTTGGATTGTTCCAGGTCATCAGGATGAAGGCCCAGCTCCTTGTAACATCGGACATACATGATGTCACAAGAGCTGCCTTGATCTATTAAGATGCGTTTTACTTGGCACTCCCCAACCTGGAGGGATACTACCAAGGCATCATTATGCGGATGTTGGACCATCTCTAGGTCGGTTTCAGTGAAGGTTATCATCGATCCTTGGCATTCTTCAGGCCGAGGTCTTTTGTGTCCGACCTGGTTCACGTGTTGCAGGTGTTTTACTCTTTGGGTTTCTCCCCGAATGTCGTTTTCATTCACTTTTGAGTGAATGACATTAACCACCCGTGGTCCTCCTGCCTGTGGTTGTTGTGCTGGGGGAGGCAGAGCTGCAGGTGCTTGAGGCAATCTTGCCTGTTCTTCTCTTGTCCTGGCCTCATCAACAAGGTCCCTCAGATGGCCTTGTCTTACCAAGTCTTCTAAGTGTGCTTTTAGGGCTCTGCAACCCTGAGTTGGGTGCCCTTCTTCATTGTGGTAAGCACAGCGCCTACCAACGTGTTTTCCCATAAATTTCCCTGGCGCTCTTGCCGGTGTCCTGAAATAGGGTTGGTTTCGTATTTGATCCAGGACTTTATGGATAGGGATTCGGAACACCGTCGTCACTGCCTGTTTACCCTTCAATTCTGTTTCTTGTTTGGTCGTCCCGTTGTTAGCTCGGCCTCGCTTCGGCGAGCCGTTTCCCTTCTCCTGCTTTATCTCTTTGTTTCCCAACGTATCTTCCTCGGCTCTGGCGTACTTCTTGATTCTCGCCATGAGTTCTTCCATGCTTTTTGGCAATGTTTTTGCCAAAGACTTCCGTAGTGGGCAGTCATCTTTCAGGCCGTTCTTGAAAGAGACAACCGCCACTTCTTGGTTGCATTCGGGTATTCGATTGAATACCTCGTAGTACCTCTTCGGGTAGGCCCTAAGGCCTTCTTCCTTGGTGATTCTTAAAGCCATCAGGGCGTCGACCCTCAAGGGCTGTAGTTTGTTCGTCACGAACCTGGCCACAAACATCTCGGCCAGGCCTTCCCACATCTTTACGCTTCCCTTTGGTAGTTTATGGAACCAATCGGATGCAATTTCCCCAAAGGATGAGGGGAATACTTTGCAGAGCAATGGCTCGTTCCCACTATATAATGCCATTGAATTCAAGTATAGTCCAACATGAAAGTTGAGATCTGACTTACCATCATAAATTTGGAACCTCGGCATACTGAATCTCTTTGGCGCTTCAAATTTGTCCAGTTCCACCGGGAATGGTGTCATCGGCTTCACTGGGGAAGTTACCTCGACTTCAACATTCTGCTGCCTCCTTTTGAGGTAATCCCTCAAATCTTCTTTACTCCTACCTGGAGCTCGGCTATCTCTGGACTTCAATCTTTTTGGCACGCTACTTTCGGCCTCGTGGTGGGTACGTTTCGATCTTTCTCCATGGGTTGTGTCAAAGCAGAGTGCTTGCCCTTGAACATGCCGATGTTCTTTGGGCCCTGGATCCTTCATGTGATGTATCCTTCAGGACTCTTCTTGCCTCAACTCCTCTCGTCCGGCTTCCCTGGAAGGTCGGTGAGAGTGCCTTCCACTTCTGGTGTGCTGAGGGGCTTCAGGGATTGCTTTCCTTCCTCCCTTCTGGGTATTAATTGCTGGCATCGGCGTATCTTGCAGCGAGTATGGTGGCTGCATGACATTATTTTGCATCATGAAGTTGACGACCGACTGTAGGTCCGCCAACTTGTTTGCCAAGTCTTTTACTTCATCATCCCTACGTAGGCACCTATCCCTCCATACCTGAAGGTTATCTTCGTTATAGTACTTGCCTTGGTCTGTCTTCTTTGAAGTGTTGCCCTCCTGGCCGACGTCTTTTTCGACGTGGCCTTGGTCATGAGTTTCTGCATTGTGGTTGTCTCCTTCAACATCAAGGTCAATTGGTCTGCCACTCCCAGCAGGAGTGTCGCCCCCAATGTTTTCCTTCTGTCCGTTACTGGCCATCTATTCTTCTAAGATTCCCACAGACGGCGCCAAATTGTGTGGGTGATTTTCCGACCACACTGCCCGCCTAATAATCAGCTGGAGAACACCGGCAGAATAGATGGCTTTAGCAAACCTGTAACAGAAAGAAAAAGGTTCCGGCGATGGCTCTTCCACCCGGGGGCACTCCGACGATCAAGTCAGTATATCTCTCAAAGATAATCAAGTGCTAAACTCACAAGCTTAAGCATCAACTGCGTACCTTAGACCCACGAGGGTGCCTCTCTTTTATAGTTTACTCAATCCAAGTCGTACTAGAAGCCTGACTTCTATGGACTCCAATTCAATACTGACTTTGGACTCTTCAAGAGATAAAGATAAACTCCCTAAGAGTTTTATCCTTATCTTTAGCAAAGTCTTTTCTTTACTCTAGAACTCTTGTCCCTTATCCGCTTATCTCGGATTCCGATATCTTCGGAGATCACCTCGGCCTTACCTAGGTAACCTCGGCATAACTACCAAGACACGTAACACCTCGGCTGACACGTCGGCGTCACCATGCCACGTGTTGGTATTTAGAAAATACATCCCCATAGAAACATATTATGTAAAATTATTTTGTGTTATATATCTAAAAAATATTATACAAATTAATATTATATATGATGCAAACGTATGATATTTAGTTAAAATATTTTTTAATCTGCCAATCTGTCAAAAATCGTCCGAATCACAATTTGTCAATCCGTTAATCCATTAACCCGTCATTCGATTTATAATTTTACTCCCTAACCGATCGAATTTGACTGCACACGCACCTAATTTCATATACTTCATTATTAGAAATAAGATATATGACAAGTCATCATTGTTATCGTCACAAACAAGCAACACAAAGAAAAGTCTTCATTAAACCGACTAGTGCCTCCTTTTCACAATGATTTAAGGTAGAAATATGACTTTTTGCGTCTATTTTTTTGCGACTGATTATTTAACCGTCGCAAAAGAACACTTTTTACATTAAAAAAATCACAAAATCATTTAACCCAATCGTGTTCTTAAAAAAAAAAAAAAAAAATTAACTATCTCTCCCTTTATTTCCCAAATTTGTCTCCAACGGTGGTGTAGCTCATTCATTTCCTGTTGTTGCCTTCTCTCTCTCTCTCTCTCGCTTGAATCTCACTGTCCAAATCTCTCTCGCTCGACTAAATTTGAATCTCGATTGAATCTCACTCTCACGTGGTGAAGATTTGAATCTCGCATGAATCTCACTCTCGCTTGATGAAGATTTCGATCGGACGTGATGAAGATTTGAATCTCGCTTGAATCTCACTCTCACATGATGAAGATTTCGATCGGCTGTTGATGAAGATTTCGATCGATTCATAATCAAGATTCATAATCGGTAAGCTACTTTCTATGTATGAATCCAACTCTCTGTCTTTCTGTGTTGTTTCATGCCTAGTTGCTGAATTTCTGTGTTGATTTATTCTGAATTTCTGTGTTGATTTCGATCGTTCTTTAATCTGTGTTGTTGATTTATTAGGTGATTCATCTTGTTTTTGCTAATTTAAAGTTATACAGATAGATAGAGACATGATTTCGGTGATTGATCTTGTTTTTGCTAATTTGTTGGCTTATTTCTGGTGTTTTACCAGATTCTATGAATGAATATTAATCATAGAATATTAATCAAAAATTGATAAATAAATAAAAATGAATATGATAATAGGACTGACATCATTTAAAACTAGAATTTAGTGTATATTGCTCCCACAAGGACCAGTCCTCTATAAATTCTACTGAGAAAGCTTTATATTCGTTCACATTCTCTCTCTATTAGAAATCAGTATTTGGACAAAGCTCAAGCCTCTCAAGTGGCCAAAGGCTTTAAAATTAGGAGTACTTACTACAACTTTCAAAGTTTTCAAATGCCAATCTTCATTCTGTTTGATCTCTCTGTTCTTCTTCTTCATCATCATCATCATCAGTGCCAGCAATTGCAAATGAAGAAGGTAACTAATTAAGCCTTTTTTAAAGAAGGCAAAGTTCAGTGAGCTCCTTTTTTAATTTGCAATGCCAAAAGGATTAGTAATTTCTTTCCTTCACAACATTTGAGAGAGGCAAAACACTTTTTATAGAGCATTACACACCTCAAGAATTGATATTATTTCATATGATTATGTATATCACTTTTCATCTCTTTAGGTGGTTACTGAAGCCTTAAGTTGAAAATAATACCAAAACTGCCTCAGGATTAAATAGTCATGAAGGCCTATAAATATGAGACTAACGCCCATAACTTTTTGATAATATATATATATATATTATATTGGTGCTATAGTTATGATGCTTTAGGCAACCTTGGTGCTATTGAATTTTTCCTCTGCTTTGTGCAGCGTTTGAAGCAAGGATGACTAAGATCTATTTCAAGCAAGAGCATGATTTTGGTATGTACTGGTCTTTTTTACAGTACTCCACTTTGTGTCCTATATCATTTGTCTGTATGGCAATGTTGATGTTGGGTGCTTAATATTTTGTTCCAATTTTCAGAGAAAAGGCGTGCTGAGGCTGCAAGAATCAGGGAGAAATACTCAGACAGAATTCCTGTAAGAATAAAATATGTAATTTAAAATTTTGGGTCTCAAATTTTGTTTTCTTCTGCATCCAATGATCTGTGAATAACTTGTTCTTTTTGTTCATTTTCTTTATCTTATCACATTCACTATGACTACATCACAGCTACAATGACAAATAATACTATTATTTTAGACTTTTAGTATATTTGGTTTTTCATGATCTGATCGGCATTATCAAACATAGGGGGTGTCTGGTGCAGATTATTCAAGCAACTTATAGCTTATTTTAATTTGAGAGTTTGCGCTAGACTGTTTGATGCAGCTTCTGCTTACAGTTTATTTGGCAGAAATAGCTTAAATAAGTTGAAAAAATTTGATTTTTCAGAAGCTGAGGGAGGGGTGCTTGTAGCTTCCGCTTTCTGATTATCAACTTTTAGCTTAAACTAATCGCCACTAAACACCCCCATAATACAAGTTTCCTTTTGGTGCCCTGTAATATGAAATTTGAAGCATTTTAGAATTTAAATAGCTCAATGTTGAGAACTCGCACATTGTGTTATGTTCAAGTAATTCTTGGTTTAATTGGATGTTTGTATGGAATTTTGGCTCATGATTGAGGAGTTTGGTTGAGACAATTGGGTTGACTCGACTAGAGTCACTTTAGTTGATTGATAAAGTTTGGCTCTATATAGCGTAAAACGTTGTCTGGTCTTGGTTATTTAGTTGGTGTATCCATGCAGTAATGTGGTTAGTACATGTTGCGGCCTTTGAATATACTTGTATTTAGCTGTAGACTGTAGTGCATATGTATGCTGCAGATTTGTACTATGCTTTCTAGTGAATGCCCAATTTTATTTATTTATTTTGGAAATTTAGTTGCACTTTCTAAAATCTTACTTTTGGAGCTTTAATGCATTTGTCAAGCACTGTAATACCTTGTGTAATTTAGCAATTATAAATGTGTTAATTTATGGAAACTTTGGTTTCTAAAAAAATGAAATTGGTTTCACCTCATTTGGTTTTGATAAATCATTCATAATGTGGTTACTGTTTCATAGATTCGTTATTGGGTTGATGAAAAGTATGCCCCATCTAGTCCCCATTGGATGGGGGTTTGGGAGGGGTAGAGCAGGTGGTTCTTGTTCCTGTTATATCCATAGTATGTGAGATTCATAGGATTATTCTTCTCATTGGTTTACGTAAATCATCATCTCAGTAAATAATAAATACATGCTTCTTTTGATGTTTACCTCTTGCTCTAAAGGTGATTGTGGAGAAGGCTGAGAGAAGTGATATTCCTAACATCGACAAGAAAAAGTAAGTGAAGATATTTTCAACTTGATACCACATTCCTGTTTAGCTAATTATTTTGGTAGTATTTATCCTTTGTTTGTTTATCACCCTTGTGCCAACCATAGTTATTACAAGTGAATTACAAGTTGTCTAAGTTTGGCATGGAAATCTGCAATTGCTGGCACTGATGATGAGCATAAGTTCATAAGTTCTAATTTGGGACCAAATTAACAAAATTAGAGTCTAAAGTTGCTCTTTAAAAGTTTTTGTTGTAGGATAAATTTCAACAAAATTAGAGCCAAACTTCAGCAGTTTTTTTTTATTTTATTTTAAAAAAGTGTTTAAAAAAAGTTTTTAGAAACATTTTATCAAATTTGACAGAACATTTCACAGTAAATCTATAGTAGTTTTCTCAAGCTAAAAGGTAGCTTTTTGGAAACAAGAAGTGCAGTAGCTGATTGCAGCACTGGAGTGGGGTCTCTGAGCCAGAATTATTGAATTCTCTTTTGGATGGAAAGCTTTAATAACACTGTAGTGGTCAGTGGGCTATCTTTGGGCATGTCTTATGGTTTAAAAAACACTAGTTTGGCATCTGATAGCCTCTTTCACTTCAGATATTAGGTCTATTCCAGACTTGCATAGATGGATATTCTCATCTCTAACGATGATTTTTTTTACAGAAACAAATGCTATTGTGCTTTAAATATGCAAAAGGTGCGTTTTCCACTGTGATTAACATTTATCAATATGCGGATTGCTAAAGCTAAAGCATGCTATCTTTTTATCAAATGGTTGATGGTTATTTTGAAATATAAGAGAAATTTGTTTTCATGTGTCCCCTTCAGATTTAAATTATCGGCATAGGAATGCTCAGATGGCGAGCCGGGCCTCAGTAGAGGTTCATACTCTCATCTATTTCCGGAAACGGTACGTGTACAGACCTTTTTATGCTCTCTCTCTCTTTCTCTCGCTCTGTCTGTCTGTCTCTTTCTCTGTCTCTCATAATTTTCTATCCCCTTGCAGGCCCACGGACACAGAGGCCAGAATTGTAATTTTCTCCAATTTTTTCCTTACTGGAAAGTAGAAGTTGATATTAGAAATCTGGTTTCTTACCCTCGTACCTTTTCTCATATTCATTCAATTAGAAATTGGACTGCTGGCTATCAATTACCAAGTGTTAAAACAGCATTTGATCCTTGATTTTCAATGTGTGGACATTTTGATGTAGAAGGATTCATGCATCTTTATCCATTCACCCATTTCTATTGCTTAGATATACTGATTTAAGCCACTATTATCCTTTGTTAATCATAGTAGAAGAAACTTTGGTGTTTTTCCTTTGGCTTTTAAATTTTGAGTTTTTGATGAGTTGTTAAACCTTTCTTGTCCTAAGTGGAAACATGCTTTTAATAAAGATGTTTCAGGCCCTCTTTTCACAGTGGTGACGTTGACTTCTTGATCAGTTATGCTAGTCCTTACCTCCCATGTTTTACCTCAACAGGTGAATCAGGGACTTACCGTCTATGGAAACAAAGGGAGCACAGATCAGCATGCGTGAGTTTTTGTTATCGTGTAATACTTTTTCATATGTCTGCAGCAGATTTAGACCATGATTAAGCCTTCCATGTCCTTTTCTACAGCTACATCCAACAACTGAGGGAGGGTGTGCACAACTTCTTTGCAACATTCATTGAAGTGCTTCGTGATAGGCCCCTGGCCATGATTGGGAGCTTGAACCAGGTGTCACATGTGGTGACTACCTGTTTGGAATGCTACAGGTTCGTTTTTTGATATCCGTTTTCTAGTGTGATATATTAAGATTGGATATGTGCTCTATGTAAATCAGTATATGCAATGTGATTCATGGCAACAAGTGCAGATAATGGCTAAGTGACCACATTTATAATCTTTGATGATACATTATTTGAGAAGGGGAAAAGCTAAAGCCTGACTTTCTGACCAAAGGCTTCACGTTTCATTAATTTTTAGGGTGACTTGTGAAACCTCTTTTGAGGCTCTGAATATAATCTTGACTACCCTCTAGGATTCTGATGCAAGACTGACCTCCCTAATCCCTATAGGTTTTATATTGACTGAATCATTTCCCTTTGAACTTTGGATGTGATGACAGGTCATTAGCTACTGATTAGCCCCTAGAGGTGTTAATGAGCTTTGTGATGAATATTCAATCTTTATCTGTTTATGTCCACGATGAGTTATAAAGTATAGACTCGAACCATTGGTCATTAAGCACCCTAAATGTCTGATTTATTCACAACAGTGAGAACCTTACATCCCATTGGTTGTTACTTATTAGGCATACTATAAAATGTCTGCTGCATGCACAACAGTGCGAACCTGCCATTCCATAGGTTAAGTACAGTGAACTTTTGGTGCATGCGTATTGAAGAGAACAGACCGCTAGATGCTCCTCCTGTGGATAATTTCTGTAGTATAATTTATCCCTAGAACATATCATATTATTAGAAGAAAACGAAGACTGCTTGCTAGAATTGAGGGCATCCAAAGATCACAAGCCACTAATTTCAACCACAACCTGCAAATGCTAGAAAGAGATTTGATTAGACAGTATACTACCACCTTGTTTCAAGAGGAGGTCCACTGGCTTCAAAAATCTAGAACTAAGCACATTACTATGGGAGATAGAAACACTATATCTTTTCACATCTCTTCCATCACTAAGAGAAGGAAACTAAAAATTAATGTGCTTAAAGATGATGAGGGAAATTGGGTTTCTGGTATTGAGGGAGTCAAAAGAATTATTGTGGACTATTTCAAAGAGTTCTTTAGGGGAGAAGATAACCAAAATTTGGAGGATTGGAATGATATTTTCATTGCCAAATTCACTACAGAGGATAATGATGGCATGCTTAGAGACCTCTAACTAATTTTGAAATCTGGAAAGCTGCCAAAGACATTAAAAGCTATAAGGCTCCTGGTAAAGATGGTATTCAAGCTTTTTTTAATTTTTTTTTAATTTTTTAATTTTTAATTTTGTTTTTTATCACAAGTATTGGAATATTGTGGGAAAATCTGTTTGTGAATTTGTCAGAAATTGTTTTCTCAAAAGAGAGATTCCCAAAGACGTGAATGAGACACTAATTGTTCTTATACCCAAAATGAGTAACCCTAATAACATTAAGCAATTCAGACCCATCAGTCTTTGTAACATTACCTATAAGATCATCACTAAACTGATTGTGAGCAGAATTAGGCCTCTTTTGGATAGTATTGTTAGCCCAAACCAAAGTAGTTTTATTCCTGGAAGAACTACTACTGACAATATCATCATAACGTAAGAAATCATCAATACACCGAATCTTAGGAAAGGGAAAGTAGGTGGAATGGTCTTTAAAATTGATTGGGAAAAAGCCTATAACAGATTATCCTGGAATTTCATAAAAGACACAGTTATCGAATTTAATATTGATAATGTTTGGATTGAATTGATCATGAGCTATGTAGCAAATGGGCATTCATTTGTACTTTGGAACAGGAAGGTACTTGATGGCATCAATAATGGGAGGGGATTGAGACAATGAGACCCCCTTATCTCCTTACATCTTTGTACTTTGCATGGAGAGATTGTTTAACATGACCAATACTAACGTTAGAGTTGGTGTTTGGAAGCGAATTAAAACCTTGTTTTAATTTGGCAACAGGAAGTTCCTTAGCTTTCAGGTTGATAACTTGGAATTTCTGAGGGAAATGAGGATCAACCCAATACAGGTTGGTTTTTTTAATTTGGCAATAGATTACACTAGTAGTTCTATTATACATATATGTATAGTTCCCGCAATCCCTCTTGTTTCACTTGTTTTGTTCTGATAACCAGAATTTTGGTTATATTTTCTAGTCTTTCTTATGTTCATCTGACATAGAATAATTATGTGTGTGCTTGCTTACACATGCACATGCGCTCCAAAAATTAACCCCATGAATCTGGAAGGACTTCTGCTCTCACCTTTATAGTGAAATAATTCATCTTTGTTGCTTGTGACATTTTGGTTGGCATCAATTATAGGTTGCCAAAGCATTAGTGGAAGTGTTTGCTGAAATGATTTTGATGAATATGGGTGCAAGGTGTTATGCCAGTTCATTGATAGAGTGGAGAAACACCCGAGCAAGAAAATTGATGAGAAGATTGGCCAGTTCTCACCAAAACGACGTCGTTTTGGTGAGGATTAATATCAACCCTTGGATGAACCACTTTAGGAGATCATTGTAGGATTTATACTTCAGAGGATCCTGACGCATTCTATTTGCCTACAGAAAACAAAGTAACATCCAGTCATAAACTGATCATTTAGATATTTTTGTCCCGTGACTAGATCAATTATCTATCATATGCTGCCCTTTACACTGGACAAACCTTCGAAGGTAACAAGTTAATAAAAATATGGACAACACAAATAATTATTCAATACATAGTAACTTCTCTTCATAAACAGACCAGTAATTATTCAATACCAATAGGACAATACAAAATTTTAAGTGAAGAATAGGTATGTGACTCGTGAACCTAGATCCGCAAGTTCACATGACATATACATGACGTTCCAAGAAATACATAAAATGCATGCAGGCATAAACATGGACGCACTTGCATATTAATTTTCTAAGAAAAGACACTGGACAACCTGACAGTTCATTATTACAGAAACATGGCTGTGTTGCCAAAACAATTTTGTAGATTTCTTTTGAAATTAAAAAATATTTGATATTTTTTCTTCCACATACACGTATATTTTCTAGAAATTGATAGTTGAGTATTTACCTGTTCAATGTCTCTAATCATCTCTCCGTAATTGTGTCTTCAGAGAGAGAAAGCAGTTGATTATAGAGTGTGTGCATGGAATCAGGATCCCAAGAATCATATCAAAGAAACGATAAATCACACAAGGTAATATGTTGCATCCACTTGTTAAAGGAAAAAAATATCTATACACTTCTGTGAGTACATAACCAAACCAAACCATACTTCTGTGAGTACATATGAAACCAAAATCACCTCATCTTGTTATTCTTCTTTTCTTTTTAATTATTTTTTCCATTTTATGTTTCTATATTTTCCATGTGTTGGTTATAAACATAAATAACCTTCCAACATAAGCAAATTCTCAAAATGTTTTCCAATGCAAATAGCAATCATAAAAAATTGCCATATTGTGCAAATTTAACAAGAAATCACCATAAGATATAAGTTGAACGAAAAAGCGAAAATGGAAAAGAAAAAAGATATAACATACTGCAAACTGTAATTTGTAAAAGGTAACATAACATAATATATATATTTATCTTATAAACGTAAGAATGGAGGCCTGACTTAGTAGTATATCAGTTGCAGCTATCCTTCATAAGCAAAGTGGTGCACTATGTGTTGTGATGCAATGTATTAATTTTAGTAGCTAGGTGAACTATTTATCGCAATTATTACCGAAGGTATTCAGTGAACGGAATCAACAAACCGCTTGCCTCTTTTTAGTCATACCTCATTAAATCAAACGTAATAAATCCTTGATTCTTGGTCAAAGAGGAGCCATTAACAGATTGCCCCTTACGCAATTGCTTCCTATAAAGAGCACAAACAGCATTCATGCATGGTTTGGGATCGTTCTGAAATTCCGAAATCATGTCAATTTCAAATAACCATGTTTTATTATCACCATTCCTACTTCGGAGCTTTTTAATCGTACTTTCAATGTCAGAAGAACTATCTGCACTGTCAGAACCATCACCCCCATCTGTGATCAACTCTTGAGTTGCCTTTGTTTTAAGTTTACTAATTGGAGTCATGTCATCATCATCATCATCATTCTTACTCACATCAATATTAGTGCGTGGACCTCTTTTTCTTTTGGTACTTGAATCCAGGAGGCGATTCTCTGTGCAACTTCTCCCATTTTCATCACCAATCTGATGAAAATGTGCACTTCCTATTTCTTTATCACTCAGAATAAATCTTGAAGCAACAACATTGGGCACGCTAGTTGTTCCATCCCTTGTGGGCACCTCATCATCACTATCATCCAAGTCAATGATAACTCCATATCCAGTTCTCCTGCCACATGCCATAGAAGTATTCTTCACTTTGTTGGAGCTCCCTCTTTCAAGCACCAACTGATTTTGGATGGGCTTTTTGTTGTTGCAAGCCATGATGACAGAATGTGCACCTGCAACAGACACAGACAGATCTTTATCAAAAACAGTTTCCGGTTGGCACTATTAACTTAAAAAAATAAAATAAAATAAAAAATTGAGACGCATTCATAGGAAATATACTGAAATATGGTTAATGTGCTTCAAGACTGAGTCACTAAATAGATGGTTCTTTGAACCACACCTCCAATGTTATTTTTTTGGCCTTTTCAAGTAATTTAATTAGTGTCAGATCCCAACTGTAATACAAGGCCAACTCTGGTTGCCCACCAGTATCTCAAAAATAATTCAAAAAAAAGAGAGATAATTTCTAACGCATTTAAAATAAAATAAAAAAATCACAAGGGAACAGTCAAATCATTGGCATAAGTGGAACCTAATAAGAGATGGGTATACAAGTAGATCACCTTAAGCCACACCACCAAATTATTACACTTACAAAAAGAAACATGAGTTCACGAGTCACAAGTTAATATGCAACCACTAAATCTAGTAATTCAACTACAAGCCTCTCCTTGAAAACAAAATGATTCAGCAAAAGACTTTGGCTAATTTCAACAATGCTCCCTTTCAATATTACAGAAATCAGCAAGCATAACACAAGAACATTATTCACCCAAAACAAAAACAAAAACAAAAAAAACACAAGAACATTAGCCCATATAAGCATAAATCACAAAAGCAAAAACCGCACAATGAATATCCCCATATAAGCCAAGCCATGTCACAATGAAGGGAGAGGTGGAAGACTATTAACCTAATTCTGATTCTTTCTTTTTTGTTGTTTAGATTTTTGTCATTTTTACATAAATATTTCTCAGTCCTCGCTTTTGAACATTAGACAATTAATAACATTTGCAGCTATATACTATGGATCACATTTGTCTTGAAAAAAATGGACAACAAGTATGATTTCGATAATAGACCGTCTATTTTATTTAAGACAAATATGATTCAATCATATGGCTACTAATATCCGATCCTAATTTCTTACATGGATGATCTACTAGGCAAGCATTAAAAGATGAATGGTCTAAATTAAGTTCAACAAATCCTACCTTATCTGACTCCACTATCAATGCAAATCAGCAATTTTATTTTAATTTATTTTCAGCACAATAACACAATAAGATGACTACAACCAAATTTTCATCTCCCATTACCTCCAAAAAATGTTAGCTACTCAGCTTACTTTGCAATTTAAGAAATGTTGACCATGAAACATTTCATCTCCCCCCCCCCACACACACGTACACACACACTCAGAGAGAGAGAGAGTTAAGGAAATGTGGAATGGAAATGTCAATACTTTCCATTTGATACCCCAATTTTATATGGAAAAAAAAAACCTACCAAAGCAAGAATATGGAAAAAAATGAACTACCTTTCACCATAAAAGCCACTCCCTACATCTCTACATCTCTACCCCAATCTCTACATCTCTGTCTTCCTTCTGTCTTTTTTTCCAAGAATTACATCTCTGTCTTCTGTCCTTTTTCCCCAGAATTACAATGGCTCAGCAAATTGCTTTTTCTCAATAACCACCACGATCCATTATTAAAAAACCCTCAAAATTTTCTCGGTTTCTTCGATCCATTTTTGGCAACTGCGGCGGGAAGTCGGTGGAGAAGACATTAGTTGAGGATGAAAAAGATGGGAATACAGATTATTATTCTTCTTTTTCTTCCTCCAGCTTGGACTCGAATTCAGCTTATTCTTCAAAGGAAAGGGGCAGTAAAAATGGAGAATTGCAAAATGAGTTTCAGAAGGTGACAGATGACATTAAGCAAGAACTTCAAGTGGTTGACTTGAAAAGGGAGTTGACAGAAACTACTGAAGAGAAGGAAGCAGAAAAGATGATCAGTGATTTAAAGATGGAAGCTGAAATGTTGAATGGTGAGAATTCAAAGCTTTTACAAGAACTTGTCACCGAATATAGCCAGCTGATGGAGAATTGGGTGAGAGAGAAAGGGAACTTGCGAGTCACACCGAGATGCATAAGACCCATAAGAATGAAACATCAGCTCGAATGAGGGGTTTAGAACTTGAGCTGGATTGTAACGCCCTCAAAATAACAACGTTAAACCCATTAAATAAGACATGCGTTGATATACAAAAGTTCCACATTCTTTCATTTCGGGGTCCCGAAAATGGGCTGCCAAGCACCGAAAGTGGCGTTCGGCCACGAAGTGGGTTTCTCGGCACCCAGTGTCCCTCAAAAGGGAGCAAATAGGAAGTATGCAAAAAATTAGAGCAATAGGAGATGGTTAAGCGGTCCCGAACCGAGGCACACGGCCTGACGGCTCCGAAAAATCGGAAACCGGACTCCAAAATGGGCAAAATGACCTGCGGCCACAAAATGCAGCCCACGGCCACTGAGAGATGGTCTACGAGACCTCTCCCTCCCCTCAGGAAAAGAAACAGAGAAAACCGAGTCTGGTTCGCAAACCGAGACAAGGCACAGAAGAGGGTTCGGAAGTCCGGAGGCAGGGCTCACGGCCGCGACTCTGAAACTTCTGAACGAGCACAATATGCAGCGTCACTGAGCGCTCAATCGGTGATGTATGAGTCTTAAGGTCGGTCAAAAATGGGGTGTCTACAAGATGTAATACATCAAAAGTAAAAACGACAACAGTATGTCCGCCTCTAGCCTCCCAAGCTATGTCCTTGGAGGTGGCATGCTTCCTGTACGTGAAATGATATTCCCATATAGGGTGAGCCACAGCCCAGTAGAAATACACTAAACCAACCATGAACAATGACTAAAATATTAGCAATTGATAGATGGCCAACACCGATACAATCACATAAACAACATATTTATGTCAAACGACTTACAAGTCCCAATTACTTTTCATTTCCCCTTTTTCAATAGATAGGCATATAAGCACTACCTACATGTTTCATTTTCCCTTTTTCAACAGATAGGCATATAAGCACTACCCACATTCTACAACAGATATGTATAACAACAATATCCACATTCTCAGATAAGCATATAAGTTATATCCACATTCTCAACAGATATGTATAACCACAATATCCACAGATAAGCATACAAGCTATATCCACACTTCACAAAGATAAGCATATTAGCTCTATCTTCACTTCTCTAGACAAGCATATGAGATGTATCTACGGAGTTCATCCCCTATCTTCTCCCAATACTATCCGGTTTAGAGGTATATCCCCCATCTTCCCCTAAACCGCGGAGTACATCTCCCATCTCCTCCTCTATACATAACGTATACAAACACATTGGTTCTATATACAATCACACAATACATACAATTAATGTATTCTATCAACCGTCAAATCCTATGACACATCTCATTGATTAGTTTCCGTTTGCCTAATCATCATGCATTGTCTACAACAATCACGACTATCCTCCACCGATAGCCCAAAACAGTTATTTCTAAACAGAAAATAAATGCACAATGGAGATTTAATCAACATTTCATTTCCTCTTTTCTTACAATTAATTATCCCAATTAATTAAACAATGTAATTAGGTCAATTCCCATAATTAACATTTCAACCCTTAGGTCCTATTTTCATTAATGACTTAACATTTATTCCAGTTCTCTATGCCAAACATGCATTCAGGTTTATTATGAATAAAATCCCAACTTTTGTAAAATTACACAAAAGCCCCCAAACTTTCACAAAATTACCAAACCAACCCCAACATCTCAAAATACCAAAATTTAAAGACAAAATCCATAGAGAGGAGTAGGATATCCCTACCTCAAATTCGGAGCCAAAAAGGAGATGAAGACTCGAAGATCAACGTGCTCCAAATCCCAACTTTTCAGATTAAATCAAAGCCCTCAACGCCCTCTATCTTTTTAACAAAGGCCCTAGGCTAGATTCACACTCTAGGGAGATCAATTCTTAGAGAGAATATAAGTGTAGAGAAGAAGAGTCTCGGATCTAGGTTTTGAAAGAAAAAGAAAGTGAAAAAGTGATTGTTCAAAAACGCTACTGTCCGCTGATATAAAACACGCTCGCTCGAGCGAAGCCTTGGTCGCTCGAGCGACCAGACACAGAAAACTCTCGCTCGAGCCAAGAAGCTCTCGCTCGAGCCAAAAACTCAAAAGTGGCGCTCGAGGAAAGAATGCTCGCTCGAGCCAACAACTCAAACCTTCAGGTCTGCAACCAGAAGCACGCTCGAGCGACAGACCTCTCGCTCGAGTGAAGAACAAACCAGACCGCTCGAGCCAAGAAAAGCTCGCTCGAGCCAAGAAATACAACTCTCAGCGTCAGAACCAGGTGGCAAGCTCTCGCTCGAGCGAAGCCACTCTGGCTCGACCCACCAAACACGAACTCAACTCTCGCTCGAGCGACCAACTCCTCGCTCGAGCGAAGGTCCAAAAATCTGGGCAGCAACACTAGGCTCCCAAACACAACCAACCTGAAACAAAACCTGCCCAACACATCCTATAACTCAAATACAACGTAAGAAAGGATGCAAACAAGATAATAAACAACTACCAACATCCACGGACACATGTCCGGATCACTGTACAACAAGGGTAAACCCGGGATCGCTATAACGAGCTGGATTCTCTGCGTACCCAGAAAGGAGATGAAGTGAAGTTGCTGATGGAGAATCTCAGCACAATTGAGGAAGACTACGGGTACTTTGAGAGCCGTGTTCATGAAATTCTGAACGCGTTTCAAGGTGCAAAGAACAGGATCAAATAATTGGAAGAAACAATCGCAAAGGAGTCAGAAAAAAATAGGAAGATGCTCCAAGAGAAAGAAGGTATTCTGGTACAGGTGAAGGACCTGGAATGGGAGGTGGACTCTCTACGGAACCAGAACAATAATTTGGAAGAGCAGCTAAGTAAAAAGCACGGGACTGGGACTGAGACTGATCAGATGCCAGGGGTTCAAGAAAAAGAAGAAAGGAAGAGCAACGAAGATGAAAATGAAGATGAAGATGAAGATGATGATTCTGAGTACCTCACCTTTGCCGATGAGATCAGGCCCGTTTTCTCTACTTTCAAGAGATGAGCTCGTCGGAGTTCCGGCAGGAACCTACTGCATCTCCGGAAGAGTGAAGCTGACGGTGGCCGGAGGAGGAGTGACGGTGGCACAGGAGAGAGATCGGAGGAGGCGGTTGTTGATGCCATACAAACAAGAAGGGTACTTTACTAACGTAAAGATGTTGACCAGAAATGTCAAGCAAATTGGCAATGCTCTCAAAGCATTATCTGGTAGAAGAAGGCCAATCAATAGCAAAGTGTTCTAAATTTAAATTTTTATTTTTATTTTTATTTTATTTTTTGTTATTATGTCTATTATTATGATTTTTAGTTGATTGTGATATTATGGTGGAACTTTTACCAGTCTTCTGACTGTGATTTTTAATTGATTGTGATTGTCAATTAAAACTTAACGAGCTTAAAAAAATATATTAAAGTTTAGTTCGTCTGTTATTCAAGTCAATTCTAAATGAGTTTTAATAAAATAAAAAAAAAAATCACAAATTAAGTTAAAATAGTTTGATTCTTTGTTTTAAAAAAAAGGTTCTGTAGTACATATAAATTATATACTCCAATCATGATTGAAGTTTTTACACACTGATTTAAGTAAATGTTTCAATAAAAATTCTAATGGTAAACTTTTATTCTGTTTATAATTAATTGTTGCGCTATTACGTAATTTAGTGGACTTTCTGAACTATTTTAATTTTTTTTCTTTTAAAATTTATT